CGGGTCAGTTCTGGAATCTGAACTTCCTGTATCTCGCCGTTCAGGTATACTTGCCATTAGCCCCCTCCTGTGGATGCTGCTAATCGCGCGCTATGCAGTCCATCGTTTGTATCCTCACCATCGTCGTCTGCAAGAACCTGGGAATGATTACGAATTTGGCTCCCTTTGACACAGGAAAAGCGAAGAAATGTAACTTTGCACACGACTCAAAAGCCACGAAGCTGTGCAGTGCAGGCTGACGCGTCCACAGGGTTTCCTATCGCGCTTCTACTCGTCGGCATGATCTACACAGGCACGAAGGCCCTCCAATTCCTCTCAGTTCCCGTCTACACCATCTTCAAGAATCTGACCATCATTGTCATCGCATATGGCGAAGTTTTGTGGTTTGGCGGAACCGTCAGCCCCCTTTCGCTCTTATCCTTTGGCTTGATGGTTCTCAGCTCTGTCGTGGCTGCTTGGGCTGACGTTCAACACGCGCTGGGTGGCGGCTCGCACACTGCTGAGGCTTCTGCTGCTGTCTCGACGTTGAATGCTGGATACGCCTGGATGGGCATGAATGTTTGCTGCACAGCCGCATACGTGCTTGGCATGCGCAAGGTTATCAAGAAGATGAACTTCAAGGACTGGGACAGTAAGTCACCCCGAGAACCCCGGCTGTTTACATGCGTCAGCCCAGAGGACCATGGCTGATAAATGCTTCATACAGCAATGTTCTACAATAACTTGTTGACAATCCCTGTCCTCATCGTTTGCACGCTTTTGACGGAGGATTGGTCGTCAGCGAATATCGCCAAGAACTTCCCCGCTGAGACCCGCAACAGCCTCTTCGTTGGCATGATCTATTCCGGGCTTTGCGCAATCTTTATTTCGTACTGCTCGGCTTGGTGTATCCGAGTCACCTCCTCTACGACATACTCCGTGGTTGGCGCTCTCAACAAACTTCCCATCGCCATAAGCGGCCTCGTCTTCTTCGATGCGCCGGTCACATTTGGCAGCGTATCGGCTATCATTATTGGGTTTGTCAGCGGCATCGTGTATGCGTGGGCAAGGATTCGCCAGAGCGAGGCAGCCAAGATGTCTTTGCCAACCACACAACCCATGAGCGCGAGCTCTCAGAGCAACAAGGATGCGAACTCGTAGAACGGTAGTGGGTTCCTGATGGAGGCGAAACTTGGCTTGCCAAGTCTCTTGGGTGAGCATTGCGGCAGCCGAATAAACTGCTGGTTGAGCAACGTGCATAACGCATCTATGGTACCTAAGCGGTATTGCCTCAACGCATGAGAAGGATGCCTGTCTTTCCCCATACTGTTCACAAATAGATGCTCGAAATGCTGTACAGTAATACGTTTGACCTCGAGATGCGTAGGCGGGGAGAGGCTCAAGTGACAAGATGTGAGCCTAGGCGTTCAGTCGTCAAACTGCGCTCCACCCGTGTAGTATTAGGGGGATAGAGTAGCTGTGTTTTAAAGCCACGACTCTATCGTGTACCACAGAAACCATTCAACAAGCCGAAGCGGTGAGATCGGTTGGGGCGCTTGTGCAGAGATAAGATTGGTTTCCAACGGGGAAAGCCATAAGGTGCTTTGGCTTGTAAAATTGACACTTCGTCCTTTGTCAGACAACATAAGACGGCAGCGGCGTCGGTGTCGGGGAAGACAAGATGATTTCTGGTGTGGCTACGCTGTTCTTTCGCTGTAAACTGACGTCGGTCATTCTGTGCAGGCACCCTCAACACGTTCTGCCACCTTCACGACGCCTGTTTCCGAAACACGTGGGGGGCTTCGGCTGGCTAGGGCGGGCACTTTACTGTCAGGGTAAAGTAGACGACGGGAGGTACTTGGTCTGTAGAGTCCTTTGGTGCAACCGGGAGGTACTCGGTACCTCACCTTACCTACATGACCACCCGCCAAATTACCTTTCTGGGCATGCGCAGCTGCTTGTCAGGTTGGGATGACCCGCAACTCTTCTTCCTACTAGCACTATGTTCTCTTCAGCTGAAGTACCTTACCCACAAGCACCTCACTGATCGGCTTCAGTCACATCCTGGCTTGTCCCCCTTCCCACGTCTTCATTCTCTCGTCCGGCACACGACCTAGCCTGTTGTGCTAACCACCGACTTCCGCTCCTAAGAACAGGACCCAGAACAAACTGCTACGTCTCCTGCTCAGCAGACGACATTCCGCGCCCTTCGCCCAATACAATTTCCCCGACCAGCTTCGAAGAAATGGACTGAGAAGCATTTGAACTCACCGGCTCTAACCTTCCAGCCCCTCGCTATTGCCAGCTCTGTCCTTGACGTACATGATGTTGCCCTTTATTAATAAGCGTAGGCTATTTGGCATTCCTTGAAATTGAAGTCTTTCACAAGCTGACCTACGATGTACCGGCAGCCTTCGAGCTTCTATCTTCGCGCCTGGGCGCATCACCCGACGAACGTCAGTCTTATTTCGCGAGAGTTGACCTACGATCGAATATATACCCATCCATATAGGCCAGCTCTAAGTATGCCGTACATGCTGACGTCTTTCTTTTGGCAGTCAAGCTCGTCTTCTCGTTCCTCATATCATACCCTCTCGCTGGTCTACTCAAGAGGGTTCCCGATGCCCGGCCAGACCAAAAGAATCTATTCATAGTATGGTATGACACACTCGAAGCTCCTGCGCATCTATTTGATTCCTAGCTCACTACGCTGACCATGTTATTTGTGACCTAGCACCTCCGCCTTTTACTTGGTCGGACTATTTGATCTATGGAGTGGCGTGCGCACCCTTGCCATCAGCTCCATTGGTGTCTACTGCATCGCCAAGTATCTTCGCAGTAGTCCGTTCATGCCATGGATTGGCTTCGCCTTCGTCATGGGTCACATGTCGATCAGCCATATCGCTCGCCAACTCGCCGACAGCCCCTCATCTGTCGATATCACTGGCGCACAAATGGTTCTGCTCATGAAGCTCAGTGCCTTCTGCTGGAATGTGGCAGATGGCCGACTGTCAGAGGACAAGCTGTCTGATTTTCAGAAGGAGAGACGCCTAGTTGAGCTTCCAAGTCTTTTGGACTACGCCGGATATGTCCTCTTCTTCCCGGGGCTTCTCGCTGGTCCCGCCTTCGATTACGCCGAATATCGCAAATGGATAGACACCACCATGTTTGACCTACCTGCCCAGGTCGATCCCTCCAAGAAGCCTCCTGTGCGGAAGAAGCGGAAGATCCCTCGCAGTGGCACTCCAGCTGCATGGAAGGCTGCGAGCGGCTTAGGCTGGATTGGTCTCTTCATGGTTCTCTCGGGTTACTACCCCATCAGTTACTTGACGGGGCAGTCCTATATGGATCTTAACTTCTTACGTAGAGTCTGGGTCCTGCACATGACCGGTTTGACGGCTCGTCTCAAGTATTACGGCGTTTGGTCCTTGACTGAAGGTGCTTGCATCTTGGCCGGCTTGGGCTACCATGGCGTTGATCCTGTCACCGGCAAGGTGTCGTGGAACAGGCTACAAAACATCAATCCATGGGGAGTTGAGACGGCACAAAACACGCGCGCATATCTGGGCAACTGGAATATGAACACCAACAACTGGTTGAGAAACTACGTTTACCTCCGAGTCACGCCTATCGGAAAGAAACCTGGTTTCCGCGCCAGTCTGATCACGTTCGGCACGAGCGCATTATGGCATGGGTTTTACCCTGGGTATTACCTGAGCTTCATTCTCGCCAGCTTTGTCCAGACTGTTGCAAAAAGTGAGTTGCAGTGGATGTGAAGTGGCGATTGCAAGACAAGAATTAATTTGACACAGATTACCGCCGATACTTCCGCGCATTCTTCATCGACCCCAGCACCGGTTCCCCAACGACCAGCAAGATCTACTACGACTGTTTATCGTTTGTTGTAACTCAGTTGGGCATGTCCTTCGTTGTGGCTCCCTTTCTCGTTCTCCAGCTGTCAGGTTCGATTCTGGTGTGGAGCCGCGTTTATTTCTACACTATCATTGGCACAATCGTCTCTATGGCCTTCTTCGCCTCCCCGGCGAAGCAGCTTTTGAAGAAGCATTTGGAAGAGCGTCAAGGAAAGACCGGGGCTAAGCTCACCCGTTCTCTTAGCCAGGATAGTCTTTCCGGCCGGGAGCCGGTCTTAGGAGTCTCAGCTGATCCTCAACGAGAGATCGACGAAGCCATGGAGGAGATCAAGGCAGAAGTAGAGGCCAGGCAGAAAAGGAAGGCTGCTTGAAATCACGCCTATCACTTATATAAACGCCCCTCATACCTGGAAGGTATATCACGACGCGATCATTGTGTTACAGGCTTGAACAGACCTTGGCTAGTGTGGTAGATTTCGATCTAGAAAGTATTGGGCAGATAAATCGCATGTGCAACCCGCTACGGGGAGCATACATCCTGGGACGGAGAACCTTGAGACATGGCCCATGGGCGCTAGTCATTAGACATTTCCTGCTACATAGCTCCTGAACTAAGCCTTTATATGTCGATGTCTATACCTTAAAAACAGAGGGAGACTCTAGAGCCGAGTTCAAACGCTTCGAACATCGGGGTGGCGATCCCCACTTCATGACTCCCGCGTCGGACCCGGGGGGTATCGTCATTCAGTCTCCATCACCCATTACAGATAAAACTCTAGCGTGTCGTCAACAGGAGGCCCGGCCTGGGCAAACATAATAGTACAATAACTTTTACAGGGTTGGGAGAGCATTGGTAGCGTCTCCGTTTACCCGGAGGAAAAACGATGAAGTGAAAAAGAGGACTGTCCTACAAGTTTAGGACAAAAAGTTCGTGTGCTTGCTCAGGTAATTCCAAGTGTCGTAGAGTCGTAAAAAGGGCCGTCGCAGGGCAATGAGTACCCATTCGTGAATCTAATGCGCTGATGTATCGAAGAAATCAATAGGGGTGTTTTGCGTGGTGTACGCTGAAAGCATTAGGTCGGAATGTACGAAAGTTACGGCAGTTGCCGAGCCAGATCGAGTTCCGAGACGTTGGCCGGGGTCCTGCGGCTACGCGATCTGTCCCCATCCCTGCTTAACGCCGACAACGACGAGAGCTACAATGGCACCTACGACGAGGAGGCCAATGACGGACATGTAGCGATTGAGGGCGCGCCACCACCTGGCGCTTTGGAACAAAGTCTCATCAATGGCCGCGATGCGTCGAGGAAGATCCCCTTCCTCATCTAAGAGACTTGATCGGTGATCGCGCTCCTCCATTTCAGCGTGCGGGTCGGGGGGGAGTGGCAAAAAGGCGGCAATCATCCAAGCTAGGTGCGGTTAGCAGTCGACCCAGAAAAGTTCAGCACTGGACTCGCATTACCAAATGGAAGAATGAACCCGAGGGCAAAGAGCACGACTTGCACATTTCGCTTGCCAAGCAGACTGTTCTCGGTGGACCATGTCATAGATGGTGGCTCCCAAATGCTGTAACGGCTAGCCCTTTGGTCACGGCGTAAATGCGGCGACCAAATGCTTGACGTCTTTTTGCGTACACCAGGTCGAAGCTGGCTGTCTAGCGGCATCGGATTGATTTCCATGGAAGCGGAATCCGACATTGGACCGGGAGCCAGGGGATTGACTTCCCGGGGCCGTCTTCGGGGGCTGTAAATACTCAGCGGAAGGTGTTCCGCACTTGGCGATCGACTCTGGTACGAGCTGGGAGGTCGACTGTCGTTCGGATCGGTCATGATGGAGCCTGAAGAGCTCGCCAGAAATTTTCGTTCGCCACTTCCATAATAGAACCTGCCCAAAACTGTTAGCTGAACACCGTGCTAAGTGCCTTAAGCATGGCTGTGCGCTTGACTTACTTAGCCCATGTAGGAATAGATGCCGAGTTGAAGCTGTTGGCCCGCGAACGTGAGCTGCTCGATGAGTGCAGATTACGATCAGATGAGGTGTTTGAGAAAAAGCTCGAAAGACGTGTTCGGGAAGGACGTTGGTTCAGTTGATGCAACTCCGTTAACCCATCACCATGCTCATCCTGATTGCTTACTAAACGAAGGGTACCTCCTCGACTGTGAGTAGCTTGAGGTCTTTCGAGCGAGTCTGTAAATGACCGTGAGTGCGACAGAGACCTTTCTTCATTACCTGCCAGCGATGAGGAGATGCTGAGCATTTGCCGGCTATGGCTGCTAAGGGGTTGGCTGCCGCGTCTGGCTGGAACCGACCAGGGAGACACAGAGCGAGATGGGGGCTCGCTTCCTCCCTCACTCTCCGACATGACGGTAGATAGTTGTGAACTCCATTGATGCGGATGAGCTTGCATGTGGGACGGGACGGGTGTCGAGGTAGATGGCTCAGCTCTTCCGTCCGGCTGCCGCATAGGCAAGCCAGCCTGCGCACGTGATCGATAAGAGGTAGCAGGGGCGGTGATTATGTTCGTGGCTGCCTCAACGCTGCGAGAACTGGATATGGACTTGATCGATGCGATGCGCCGGAGAGAGTCTCGTGAGCGAGTTTTGTAGTACCCAAACCTCTCCCTGCTCTTCTTCTTGTTTTTCTTTGGCTTGAGTGGCGCTACCAACAGGCTTTCTTGCGAGTATTCCGGGCGAACACGGCGGCGGCGGGCCGTAGCCGCAGAAGAGGGCGCAGGGGACGGGTCGCCGTGTAGAATATAGTTGTGGTTACTGTCGGCGCTGCTGTCTGCAGTCTTCGGAGGACTACGCTCGGCGGAGGATGTTTCTGGGGGGGAAGATCGGCCAAGAATCTCGTAGTTGGAGTGACTCGATGCAGGTGGCGGTAACGAACTGTCCCTTTCAGGGATGCGAGGAGGCGAGCTAGAGTTGTATACTTGGTAATTTGTTGTATCGGAGGATATCGACGGTGGCGGCAGCACACTCTCAGTATCGGCTCGAGGAGGGGAACTGGAACTGTAGATTTTGTAATTTGTCTTGTCCGACGATGTAGACGCAGGGACGGATGAATGAAAAGACGTCTTGGTCTGCAAGTCAGGGGGGTCCGAGGATGGGTATGGGTCGGCGGTTGGCGCCTCCGGCAGCGGCGCGAGTCGCGAATCAGACGGAGAGGATGGGGCGGATGGTACTTGGTTGGCTTCAGGGTAGAGAAGACTTGATTTTCCCTTTTGCTTGTGATCAGGAGTATTGAGGACCTTGCGTAGGCCGCCAACCATGCGGTAATTCCAGGGGGACGAATTGGACGCGACGGTGCTGGCGATATGATCTCCAGCTAATTGCGTGGTCGAGGATGCCGGGGTTAATGTAGCTGAAAAGCTTCGGTCTGGAGTCACGGTAGTAGAGCTGGGATGGTTTTCGCTGATGTGTGAGGCGTCTGATGAGAAGCGCTCTGGCGAGGCTGTCGAGGAAAGTGACAACGTGGGTGCTTTGGACGAGCCTGGGTCCGCCGAGTTCCTCTTCTGCTGTCCTTTCTGGGGTAGGAGAGAAAAGGTCTTCCCATCTGCGTTGATGGTGATGAGATTGCGGCGACGAGACAAGGGGCGCTTCGCCGAAGGGGTGACAGGTTCATCGTCGGTATTGTACTGTGACGACCGGGATCGTGCATTAACGCGGGAATTATCAGTCAGATGAGGCGGAGTAGTGGGAACAGGGGTAGAAGGAGAGGACGGGCCTCCTGTCCAAGAGTCAGATCGCAGTTTCGAGCCTGAAACACCGCGGTCCTTGGCAGCGACCAATGGGAAGGTTGAAGACGCTGGCGACAGTACAGACGTCAGCGTACTGGAGGAATAAGAGCGCCGATGAGAGGAATAACGGTCGCTAGCACGGCTGGCGGATGCGGAGCGGTCATCGATTCTGGAGGAGTTTCGGTGGTCAAGTTCGGAGGTGTTCGGCGACAGCAATGCTGTTGTTGATGTTGGAGTGCGTGACGAGGTGGCCGAAGCGGTAGAGTCGCGATTCTTGTGGCTTGGTCGAGGAGGGCTGTAGGGGACAACGCGAATGGCAAGAGAATTGGACTGTGACTTGGAGCGCTCGTGCAGCGGCCTCCGTTGGGACCGGGAGGGGCTCCCTCGTGAGGGGCTCCCGGACCCGGACCCGGGCATTCTCGGTCGGGCTCTGCGGGCACGGGGAGGTTTCGGAGACTCTGCCGGAACTGACAGCTTTCGGGGATAGCTTCTTGGGTTTGGGTGTGATGACTCGGCGCCACCGGGGTCTCCGGGCCATGGAGAGCCGGTGCGTCCCGGCGTGGACTGAGATGGCCGACAGCGGGAATGGTTGGGGTAACGCACAGGAGCCAAATGCGGTCAAAAGCTGCTTGTAGTGGCTGACTCGCTGGGAGCAATAGATTCAGCTTCGGTGGGTAACGGAAGGCGCCGGGCCGGCCTGTGCTTTGGCGGTCCCGTCCGCTTTGATTCGGCAACCGTACACTGTACAGTGCAGAAACAGTTGGCCGGGTGTCCAGTCCAGAGGTTCGAACTTGTCGGGCGAAAGAGGGCGAACAAGTTGGCTTGCGGCGGCGCACGTTGTTCTGGCAGAAGTTTGTTCGTTGTCTTGCTGAAAATCATCCGGAACTGATAGAAATTCGACGGTGGTCGAGCAGGTTGGATGAACCACAAATGTCTGATGATAAGTATTCGCTTGGCTGAATCCAATGTTGTCGACGAGCGTAGGTTGTTCTTTGATTAAGGCGAGGCGGGATGAGCAGGCGACTAGCACAAGCGAATGAGCGGAAGGGCAAATTTGCCGGGCGGGTTTGCGATTGTATGCGTGGATCGATGGGAGCTAATTAAGCTGAGCGAGAGAATAACTGAGGTGAACCGAGGCGTGAGATACTAAACAATGTAGATATCGGGTGACGGCTGAGTAGCCAAGGAGAAGAAATGAGAGTAGGAAGATTATTACTGGCGAATTGCCTGTGTTATAACTAAAGCAGGGGGGTTTTCCGCAAGAAAAAAGATAAGGAGACAGACAGAGAGAGAATATGAAAGGTAAAGAAAGAGAGAGGAAAAAAGAAAAAAAAGGCGTCGATGCAAATCGCTGCTCGGTTGCGCAGAGGCAGAAACCGAACAGGAAAAGAAAAAGGATAAAAAATAAAACGAAAAGGCCGAAGGAATGGAAACGCAAGAGATGGAGGCGGGAGGGCAGCAAAAGCGGGCAAGGCATGGTAGGTAGATGGGGACCGGAGAAGCACCCAAGGCAGCTAGCTGCTGCAAGTTCCAGCACAACCTAAGCTCCCAGGCCCATGTCCAGTCCCAAGCAAGCGCAAGACGTACGTACCTACTGACATGAAGGTACCTCAGTGTGGGCGATGCGAGGCAAGGCAGGTAGATTTGAGCAGGCCCGCTACTAAGTAAGATGGAAGCGAACCAGGAAACAAGGTGGGCAGAGTCCAATGAAGGCCGACAGGACACTTAGGAGATTTGTTGGTTTCGCTTCAAAGCCAGCTTGACTGTCTGGACTGGCGACAAATCCTGGCCGCATGCAGGTCCTGTGCTTCTGACAGGATGAGGCCGGCTATGAGCACACTGAGGTGTTACTGAGTATGGGCTGCATCTGTACCAAAGTCAAGTATCGTTGTAGGTAGGTGTACCTCCGGGGGACGGTGGATAGTTTCTCAAAAGGCGGTCGAGGGAAAAGGCCAAGTTGGGGTTGAGGAGACGGGATAATCTAACTGGCCCGCCAACATTGAGTCTCCCTATCTCTGCTTCCGAAGCCTGGACCGAAGCAGCAGCAGGGGCAGCAACAGCAGCAAGGGGCTGGCGCAGACGGGGTTGAAGACGACAAGGGGCCTAGCGAACCGGACCAGATCCAAACCAGAAACCAGACACCCAGACCAGCCAGCGATTCGACAATAATAACGGAATGGAAGTGATGCGGGGTGGCGGTGCGGCGCGGCGATGCTTCTCTATAGCAGATGAGATGTAGCGGCCGGGGTGTGTGGTGAGTGGTGAGCAGGATTGCCAATGGCAATCAGCAGACGGATATGACAGGTCGAGCAGTCGATAAAGGGGCGACAACCACGATTGATTGACGACGAATGGATGTCGGCAGCGGTTCGTTCAGCCGAATTGGAGCAGACCGCGGCCTTATTCCATCGCGAAAAGTGAGAGGTGAAGAAGGTGAAGGGGAGTGGGCAATGTGTAAGTAGGTTGTCAACCGCGACAGCGACAGCGGCGACGGGGGCCAATGGTACAAGTATTTGACATGGAAAGCGACAGCCACGGATATTGGAGCAGCCTTTTGGCTATGAAGGTGGACGTGGAGTCGTGAGACGCACAGAAAACAACAAAAACAAAGCCGTAGTCGCAGGATCCCAGGGCATGAACAAGTCTAGGAGACCTGGTCTTGGACATCCGACGACGACATCAGACGGGCAGACTTCGTCTGATTCTGGAGTACCTTACGTCCTGCTAGAGGTAGGTCTAGCACGCCCTCAGGGCCTTCGACGCTAAGGTAGTCTACGGTAGTGCAGGGCTCAGAGAGAGACAAGACAGAGACAGTCATGGAATACCTAGAGCCTTCCTTTGGACCACCCAACGTCCACCATACCTACCTAAGGTAAGTCCGTGTCTCCGTCCCATGCGCAACCGCCACGCGCCGTTGCGACTTACCAGCCAGCGGCTCTGGTAGCTCCCGCTTCACGAATGGATGTTGTGCGAGTCTGAATGCCCTTCTCGCTGTAATCCGGTCCATGCATCCGTGGGTCAATCCGGTGTGCTGGCAATACACTAATTATACTACTCGTAGACCATCCATGCCTTCAGCGTGCACTCGAAAATGGGGCCTTGCGTGTTCCACCGCATCTTGGACAGGCAGGGCCAGGATAAACCTTCCACAGCACCTGGGGCACTGGAGGCACAAGTGGGTGTTTCGCTCTCCACGGTACCCGCAATACGTTTCTCAATCAAACATGACCTTAAGGACTCTTGAAGGATATTTGATGAGATGCGGAGACAGCGTCCGTGAGGTACGGTGAGGTACGGATACGCAATACGTATGACGGCAAACCGAAAGAGGAAGTGAATAAACACTGAAAACAACCCTCCTAATCTTGGTAAACTGTCTCAGTGCGAGATTCTTTCTTGCGAAGGCGCTCGGTTGACCGTTGCCCATGATGATACGGTAGGACTCAAACGCTCGCCAGCTTCAAGTCGATGGCCGACAAAATCCTAGCCTTGGGGCGTTTGTCATGTCCAGCGCTGTGCTCTGTCTGACCGCCATTGTTTACTTTGGTGTGCTTAAAGCGCCCTCGTTGCTGCAGCCAGCGTAGGTCGGTGCGTCATGCCCACTAGACGGGCTCGCCGAAAGCAATATCTCTTCCATCAGAGAAGCAAACAATCATAGAGGATACGTAGCAGAGGGAAGGGAGAATCTTTGAGGCCATCCGTACGAGAGCGATTAATTTTGCCAGCGGCGCCTGGAGGGGCCTGACGTTTCATTAACCAGTGGCTTGTGGCCCTAGTCGCTCCCCTGCGGAGAAACAACCAGCCGAGAAAACTTCCAACCTACCTACCTAACCTACCTTACCTAGGTACCTGCAGTACCTTACCTTACCTTACACGGCGGACGTGCAGTCGAAGGCCAGGCGAGGGCCGCGGCGCATTCAATGGCAGGGTAAGTATAGATCGCGCGGCTCAGTCGCGTCCTCATCTCAGCTTCTAACGTGTTCGTCGGATCCACCCTGCACCCATTGCCCAGTAAGGTACACTGTAGCCGCCGGCCCCCTCTGCAGCCTGCAGGCCTTGAATTGATTGCGCATCGGTCGTGTAAGAAGCCGTGGCTGCGTGAGAACCCGCGGCTGTTTGTGTGTCAAAAGCACATTCGATCGCGAGACATACACAACGAATGCATATGTAAGATTGAGGCCGTGTTTCTGCCTAATGCATTGCAACCTGGCACCGGCGCTTCGAAAATGCGCTTCGTAAATCAGAGGCGCCGCGACCGGGACAGTGTGAGGTGCGTCAGAATCCCGCACACAAGTCCCCGTGGACCTGCACCGCTGCCGATGGGTTCCTGTGTACCTGGATACCTGGGTACCTGAGGTTGATCCTGGGTCTTGAGTCTTGTTACGTAATCATTGGACTTCAGCAACTTAGAGACGTAGGTGCAAGTGTGATACCGCCTCACATCATGACAGCAGCCCTTGGCCTAAGGTAGCTTTTTCTTGTCAAGACACTTCGTTGCCCGGTGTCTTGAGTTTCTTCTATCACCAGTCACGTCTCCCAGTCTCACTTGGCGAAGCTCCCGGGCCGCGACGGCGTATACCAGCTGCTCCATGTCCTCTCCTAGCTTCGGCTTCGGCCCCGACCCACGGCCGTCTGATATGGCGCCGCCCTCTTTGCATCCCTTCACTGTCAGCGCCATGTTGGTATGTCCAAGCTCTTCAACTGCCACTGTGTAACTCCCCCGCTCATAACTAGCCAGGTTCTATACACAATCATTTATGTGCTTCCGCTTTACATCTCGTCATCTAGTCGTCCCTCGCCAACTTTGTCAAGGGACGACCCGCGAGTGATTCGTACACGTGTCACTTCCGTTCTGTTTTCTACTGCCATCTGCTGCACCATCACTTACACTGTCTTGGCGCAACTTCCGGACGGCGTCCTGCCCATCTCTCCCCTTCACGCCATGGGCTACTGGCCAGTGGGCCTTGCGGAATCTGGCAGCGCTTTGCTTCTCACTTCCATTCTCTTTGCTGGTCCACTCTACGAAGCCCTTCTCATAGACGGACTCTGGGAGGATTGGAAAACCCTCGAGCCTCTGACGCATGTCTGGACCCGGTGGACCACTTGGCGCAACATTGTCATGGTGTGTGACCTCAACTTTCTGAACCTTTTCTTGCGATTTCATACTAACTTGGATCATAGGGACCTTTGACCGAGGAAATGCTGTTCAGATCCGCTTCAGTACCGCTACTCCTGTGCGCTCGTATGTCGTTAACTCAAACTATCTTTCTATCCCCTCTTATATTCGGCCTCGCCCATGTCCATCACTTCTACGAATTCCGCATCACCCACCCCAGAGTGCCCCAAATCGCCGCCGTCGCTCGTTCAGTATTTCAGTTCGCATACACTTCTCTGTTTGGTGGCTATGCCACATTCCTTTTCTTACGATCCGGCAGTCTACTGGCCATCGTCTTGGTACATGCATTTTGCAACTCCATGGGCCTTCCCCGGTTCTGGGGGTCTGTCGAGCCCCACTGGCATCTTCATGGACATTACACGCACGCAGACGCTCGGAAATGGACGGTATTTTATTATGTACTTTTGTTTACCGGGGCAGGTCTGTGGTGGAAAGGCCTCCTAACGCTCACGGAAAGTTCGTCAACCCTGGTTCCTGGCCGGTTTTGAGACCGCCAATAGAAACCAATTGCATCATGTCCTCATGTCCAAATCTAGCCCCGGTAAAGACCCAGGCATCGAGAAGTCATCGCTTCTTAACCTGCGTCGACGCAGAGAATCTTGCTCTCGCCCTGTCCTGCCTCCTGTTTCGGCCTCTACTTCTCTTCGGGCCTCTGCTCGCAAATCCTGATCAATCTCTTTCCCTTTTGCCCTGCCTACTGATGCATTCGTCTCTGCCAGTCCGTCCTCGGGTCCTCTAGTGTTCTTCTTCCGTGGCCAGAAACTAGGCAAAGCAATCTCCTGGAAACGGGGTTCAACACATCGCTCGTCGAACCAGCGGTGCAGACGTGCTTCAATGAGTTGGGCGATTTTAGGCACATCCTGGAGCCTTGATCGGCTCCCTAGAAGGCTACGAATTGAGAGGTCAAGCCTGTAATCGTCGAGAAAGTTGAACGTCATCATGGTAGGAGTCGACTGCGAAGGGTTGCTGGGAATGAAGGAGATCGAAAGAGTGCCGCTGAACCTGACGACAGAGACTGACAGTGCCACCGGCAGCACTGCACTTAGCTTCTTTGGATAATTGAGGAGAAGCTTCGTCTCGATGGCCATTGTCAGCATGTCGCTGAGGTCCACATCCATCCGAGCTTGCAGCTTAGCTCCTTCCCTGCTGGCAGCGCTGGCATCGAGCGTCTTGCCATTTCCCAGACTCAAACCATCCTCGTCCACCGGAATGATACGACAGTTGCTGAATATGGGGAAGTCTTCCCCAAGGCTCAGCTCAGTAACACGGATCTCGTCCACGAAGTCGGGGCGAGATGTTCCATTGAGAGCCTTCGTGAGAGACGTAAGAATTGCGTCGTCGTGCTGGGCGTCGCTGCGTAACTGGGCAATGGTCTGGGCTATCAGGACGTTGAACCAGTCAAGGCTCTCCGGTTGATGGCTGTCCACATTGTAGTATGTTTTGCTCAAGATAGAGCCGATGGTCAAGTTAGGAGGATTCCGGAGTACGCTAGACTTCTTGCGATTGAGCGTCTGCTGGCCTTGCCGAGCGTTGGACGTCCGCAGACTCAAAAGAGATCGCTTGTGGGCGAGTGTCCGGGATCGACGTTCTGTAGCTCTAAGCGAGGCCGTTACCTCGGGCGAGGGAGGGTCACCAAAAATGAAGAATTTGATGAAGGCTGCTAGAACGATGACCACCGACAGCTGTCCCAGAATCAAGCCCTGTGTGAAGGAAAGTCTGGGAGAGCATCCGTATTGTCAGATCCGCTCTACATAATACTGTCGTCTTTTCCTTGGAGAGAATTCGCTGGTTCGTGACTCACGCAGGTTCGGCTTTTGCCGGGCAGGTGTCTGTTGGTAGACTCGTCATAGTCGCAAGACAGCCAACAAACAAGCAGACTGTGGAGTGGCGTTATTCTCGAGACAGCAGTGCAGTTATATTGAAGAAGAAAGGACCGGAAAACTCGGTCTGCTGTTTGTGCGAATATCCCAGGACGTGAGTAGGCTTATAGCGATGGCCACACCGAGGAGTTGTTGCGTGGTGGATGCGCGTCAATGCGCAAAGGTACTTGCTTACCTGGCTAACTAACCAGGTAGAGAGATGCAGTTGCTTAAGGTACTAGGTGCCTACCACCCTACCTACATACCCGAGGCACCTTAGGTACCTAACCACTTTCGTGCTACCTTACTCAGGTCCTCAGGTCCCTTGTCAGAAGAGCAAAGCCCCGCACTGTGGATTTCACTGTCTCGATCATGCCTACCTACGTACCTGAGGTAGGTACCTTACCTACCTAAGGCATCACCGTGGCCGAGTAGGTAAAAAGCTCATTGTGTGGCTCAATTGTTTGGCATGCGCCACGAAGCTATAGACGACGACTCAAATCGAGGCAAGCATCCTATCTTCCATCACCTCCATCCCTTTGCCCAAACATCGGCAATTTCGGCGCCTCACTTCTTCCACGAGTTCATCGCAGCCAACACAGCCAAGATCTCTTCATCTGCCTCAACAATTGGCAGCACTCCGGGCTTCGCTTTGTTGCTCCTCTTCCTGCCTCGGACAAAGACACTACATACACATTCGCGACCTACCGAACTTGTCTCGTGTTGTTGGCCAAGATGGACGTGGCTCAAGCAGTGGCCGGCTACGTATCACGCATGGTATCATCTGCCGACCCTCTTTCGAACACACAGTCGGCCAAGATGAAGGTCCTACTGCTGGACCGGGAAACCGTGCCTATCGTGTCCACCGCCATTACGCAATCTTCTCTGCTTAACCACGAAGTGTATTTAATCGACCGGATCGATAATACCAGCAGAGAAAGGATGCGTCATCTTCGATGCTTATGTCTCGTACGGCCATCGCCAGAATCTATCCAGCTGCTCATCGATGAACTGCGCGAGCCCAAGTATGGCGAATACCACTTGTACTTTACCAACGTTGTGAAGAAATCATCGCTCGAAAGGCTTGCTGAGGCGGACGACCACGAGGTGGTCAAGCTAGTTCAGGAGCATTTTGCCGACTTCATTGTCATTAACCCGGACTTATTTTCTCTCGGACTCAGTCTCCCTCACCAACGCATTTGGGGGAGCGGCCCACACACCTGGAACCCGGACGCGCTTCAGCGAAGTGCGGATGGACTCGTTGCTCTATTGCTGGCGCTCAAGAAGAAGCCTTTGATTAGATATGCCAACACGAGCCCGCTCACTAAGAAGTTGGCAACGGAAGTCCGCTATCGCATCACCCAGGAAGAGCAGCTATTCGATTTCAGAAAGGTGGACACGCCTCCCATTCTTCTAATCCTTGACCGTCGCGAGGATCCGGTCACGCCGCTACTTACCCAGTGGACGTATCAAGCCATGGTGCATCATCTCCTAGGCATCAACAATGGTAGAGTCGATTTGAGTGATGTTCCGGACATTCGGCCGGAGCTCAAGGAAATTGTCCTGTCTCAAGATCAAGATCCCTTCTTCAAGAAGAACATGTATCTCAACTTTGGCGACTTAGGGGGAAACATCAAGGATTACGTGGAACAGTACCAATCCAAAACGCAGAACAACGCCAACATCGAGTCCATATCTGATATGAAGCGTTTCATCGAGGAGTATCCGGAATTCCGAAAGCTGTCGGGCAATGTGAGCAAGCATGTCACCTTGGTCTCGGAGTTGAGCAGGCGTGTGGGCGCGGAAAATCTTCTCGAAGTCAGCGAGCTCGAGCAGAGCCTAGCATGCAATGATAACCATGCGGCCGACGTAAAGGTATGTGCCAGAAAAGTCCCACGAACGACCATGATCCCGAGCAAAGCTGGCTAACTGCTCTCTTGACAGAACATCCAAAAGCTCATCCAGTCCCCGAAGGTAACAAGTGACAGCAAGGTTGCCTTGGTTGCGCTATACGCACTGCGATATGAGCGCAACCCGTCGAACTCTCTTCCGATGCTCATTGACCTTCTGGTGGCAGCTGGTGGGGTTTCGGTACGGCGAGCAGATCTCGTCCCGAAGTTAGTATCTTATCAATCGTCTCTGCAGCAGTCACAGGCACAGACAGGCATCACAGACATATTCGAATCAGCGGGGATTTTTGGCTCAGCGGGCAATCGATTCAAGGGGCTTAAAGGTGTTGAGAATGTCTATACCCAGCACAGTCCCCTGATGGAGAACACCTTACAAAATTTGATCCGGGGGAGACTCAAAGAACAACAATATCCATTTGTCGAGGGTGGTGGGACTACGCGAGATAAGCCGCAGGACATAATTGTTTTCATGGTCGGAGGTGCAACATATGAAGAGGCCAAGATGGTTGCGACCATTAACGCAAGCACACCCGGTGTTCGACTGGTGTTGGGCGGCACAACCGTTCATAATGCTTCAACGTATCTCGAGGAAGTCGAAGATGCTGTATCCTCATGGCCCGATTCACAGAAAATGGGAACGAGACGGTAAAGGCATCGGGAACCGGACAGAGTTGATTCCGCAAGCTCTAGACAAATGGTAGCAAGCCTGTATCGATCTTTTTATGACACTTCTTGAATGACAATGGCTAACAGGCTGGATGTCTGCCAGTCGTAAATCAAAGTCCTGGCAGATACTTGAAATTATCATTCTTTTATTGATTGTCTGGCTTTGCACGGCGTATGTAAACTGCAGATTGCATACTAGCTACTAGCCACGCTGTAACCAAGTGTGTTCCGTAGGTAGCGCCACGCCACATCGCTATCGGTGTTTGTTATCACCGACTGCCGGTCAAGGGGCCAGGAAGTTGGGGCCGAGCGCGGGAGGCACCCCAAAAAAAGAAGCAAACAAGGAAGGGCAAAAAAAAAAAGAAAAAAAAAAGGGAAAAAAAAAAAACCAATAGAGGGAAAACAGACCAGACGGGGCTCGGCGCAAGTATGGCGATCGGGTGGCCGACGGTTTAATACCATCTCCTCACAAGCCTCTCTCCCAAATCATTTTGCTCTCCTCCTTTACTTTGAAGCGTTGTCTGCCCGCGTCGGATCTACATTGTTGGCTTCTTCCCCTGTCAACGAGACATGCGATCCCTTGCAGCGGCTCTCAGGCTTCGACCGCGCGGCTTCTGCTGCTCCAGATGTGTGCAACGTCCAAACCCGTCTCGTAGTCAAGGCAGGCGGGGATTTGCTGCTGTGGCAGAGGGCACAAGGTCTGATCGTACTTAACAATTCGATTCGCATTGTGCTAATACAAGGTGGCAGGCCTTTCGACGTTGTCGTCGTAGGAGGTGGTCATGCCGGCGCAGAAGCATGCGCCGCCGCCGCCAGAGCCGGCGCAAAGACGGCTCTGGTCACCCCAAAAATGGAGAATCTCGGCACCTGCTCTTGTAACCCTTCGTTCGGCGGTATTGGAAAGGGCATCATCTTGCGCGAGATCGATGCTCTGGATGGATTAGCCGGCAGAATCATCGACAAGGCTGGCATCCAGTTCAAGGTCCTGAACCGTTCAAAAGGCCGCGCCGTATGGGTAAGGATCTTCCATCTCTATTGTCCGTCCTGGCGGGTTGCATGACTGATTCATCTCACAGGGCCCTCGGGCGCAAATCGACCGAAAACTTTACCAGAGATACATGAGAGAAGAGCTGGAAACGTACCCAAACTTGTCCGTTGTACTTGGCAGCGTCTCCGACATTGTGACAGATGTCACGCATAATTCTACGAGCGCGGCGAAAAACAGGATTACCGGCGTACGTCTGGAGTCTGGCGAAGTCCTCCCTACCACCCAGGTCATCATCACAACCGGCACGTTCCTGAGTGGCGAGATACACATTGGTATGGAATGTTACCCGGCAGGTCGTATCGGAGAGGACGCCTCGTATGGTCTAAGCAAGTCGCTCAAGGACGCGGGCTTTAGCCTAGGAAGGCTGAAGACGGGCACACCGCCTCGCATTGCGAAGGACAGTATCAACTACTCAATATTGGAAGAACAACCAGGGGACGATCCGCCACTACCCTTCAGCTTTTTGAACAGTCAGGTCGCTGTGCAGGATCAGATGCTCTGCTACATCACTTACACGAACGAAACAACACACGCAATTGTTCGCGGAAATCTGGACAAAACAATACACATTCGGGAAACCATCAGGGGTCCCAGATACTGCCCATCCTTGGAAGCCAAGATTGTCCGGTTCTCTGACAAGCAAAGGCACATCGTGTGGCTGGAGCCCGAGGGTTTTGACAGCGACGTGATTTACCCCAACGGCCTATCGATGACTGTCCCGCCTGAAGCTCAAGAACAGATCCTTCGCTCAATTAGGGGCTTGGAGCGCTCTGTCATGACGCAACCAGGATACGGCGTCGAATATGATTACATTGATCCCCGGAGCCTAAAGTCTACTCTGGAGACAAAGAACATAGCCGGCTTGTACCTGGCAGGCCAGATTAACGGCACTACGGGTTACGAGGAGGCGGCAGGGCAAGGCATCGTTGCTGGTATCAATGCTGGCCGAGCTGCTCAGGGCCTTTCACCAGCCTCTATTACGAGAGCGGACGGTTACATCGGTGTTATGATCGATGACTTGATCACCAAGGGCGTCACAGAGCCATACAGAATGTTCACATCGCGAAGTGAATACAGGCTGGCGTCTAGGGCGGACAACGCAGATTTGAGGTTGACTAAACAAGGACGCGAATGGGGAGTCGTCACAGACAAGCGTTGGAGCTCCTTCTCTGACGAGAAACAGCAGATGGATGAACTGATGTCTCTGCTCAGGAGAACATCAAAAGCGCCCCAGGATTGGATTCGTGCAGGTTTTCCTTTCAGCAAAATATCTGAATATCGCGACGCTGCTGACATGCTCCTGTTGCGAAACGTCACTATGGACCAAGTTGCTGCTGTTGTTCCTGGGATCGGTGACTTCGCTGAGAACATCAAGTCTCGGGTTCACATTGAGGCCATGTACACGCCTTGGGTAAAGAGGCAGGTCAGTGAGCGCAAAGTCCTCAGCCATGATGACAAGGTACATCTCTCATCAGTCGATTACGATGAGGTCCCTGGACTGGCTACGGCGGAAAAGAATGTGCTGAAGGCTATTAGGCCCGAGACTCTGGCTCAAGCTAGGAGGCTAGAAGGCATTACCCCTGCTGGATGCATTCGATTGGTTGCCTACATCAAGAATCAGGTCCGCGTCAAACGAGCGGAGCGCTTGGCAAAGCAGACCGGACAGTTCAGGTTAGAGAATCCTAGGGCTTCCATGCCTCAACTGCCCTGATGAGGGATCGTGGAAGCCCTCTCACGAAGATGAATAACGATTCTGAACAGTGGTTTCTTAGATTGGAAGCGACCACATTCTCTCCAGTGTCCAGGAAGAACCAGCCCCGTTATATCAATTCTTGATTTTCCCCACCCATAACGCCGTTTTGCGATGCATACGTAAGACACCATAATCTCTGCATCCTATAGGTGTATCTAATTGTGAAAGCCGACCTGGAATTTTTTGGGGTGCGTCGTGGTGTTCTTCACGGCCGAAGCTGTCCGGGTCACAGCGGGGGCGCTTATGGATATTCCGTCTCTTCCAGGCCTTCGTAACTGCCTCAGCCTTATGCTGGCTTGTCCTTCGGGGCGGAAAGGATCTTGACTGCGTCCTTGCTGAAGACGTAACTGGCCCCGCTCCAGACTGTTGTGGTCGCCACAATGTATCTAGCCGTGATGTAAGTAGTGATGCGGGGGTTTGACCAAGCTTCGGACAACTTACTGTAGAACGGTCAGTGGCGTAGAAAGGTCGTAAGTAAGGACTGGCGCGGCCGTCGTCAGGCCCACCAGGGCAAGTTGGAGGAACGTATTGTATTTGCTGATGGTCGTCGGACGAACTTCGGCCGAGGGCAGAGAGAAGTCCCAGTACCGCGCGAAGGTTTTCGGGGGTGGGAGGGAGATCCAGCGATAGTAGATGGCGGATATCGCAAGACCAACATCGCGGCCTAGGATGATGGTGGCGAGCCAAACTATTTGGGTAGAGCAAAGTCAGCTGTTGCCGTCGTTGATTTCCCCTCCACATTCCACCTTTTCCGTCTTTGTCATGGCCGCTCGTTTTTGTCCCTCTCTCCGAATATCCGTCAAACTGGGATAAACTGACCTGGTAGAGAGCCTTGAGCAGCTAAGCACACCGTCAAGACGGTCATCAGAGTCTTGTCGGCCATAGGATCGATGACGGTGCCTACTACCGTCTGAAGGTTCCATCGGCGGGCGATCCAACCATCAAGTAGATCGGTGATGCCTGCATAGGCAAAAAGACCTAGGGCCCAGGCATGCTGATCGTGGAGTATGAAATAGCCAACGAAGGGTGCGGCTACGAGTCGCGATAGCGTAAGAATGTTCGGGATCGTATAAATATCTTCATGGAGATTCTTTGGGAACGCAGGGATTTTGGACGCGATCTTGGACGAGGTCGTCGCACTGCCGCAAGACGTTGTTAGTCGGGTAATCCGGTCCAACCGTTGGTACCGAAACAAGAAGCCATTGCAGCTCAGCGAGACTCCATGCACGTGTCAAAAAACATACCTTGTACTCTTCCCATCGCTTCGAGACGTGTAGGGCGCAAGTGGCCATGGGCGCTGGTGAAGCTGAATTGCGTTGGTCGGAAGAGGAGCCGTCAGCTTGATATTCGGCCGCCACGCTGGCGACGAGCATGCGACAGGCCATCTACTGAGTCGTTGACTACAATGCATCAGGGCCGTTCGACCACCAAGCCTAGGCATTACCATATTTGATTCCGGAACTCGACATCGGCCAGTCGCCAACTACGGTGCGGTCCGTTGCGAAGGACGCGCTCAGCCCGAACTCACTCGCCGACGGGGACTTTCGGTGCAGCCGCACACTATGCCTAAGCAAGGCTTTGCGATTGGCCAGGCTCATGCCTGTAGCGGGGCATAAACTAGGAAGTGCGGAAGTGCGCCACTTCAATACCGAGGTTTGGTTGCATGACGGTTTGAATTCATCTTTTTGGTCACTGTAACTACAACTATGACTATAGCAACAGCTCCATCCAGCCGTTCTCTTCAGAGGCTTCTGAACAAGAGGGCATTTATAAACGCTCGACGGCAAAAACGGCGCGCGCCACTGTATCTGTAATCTGTTTTTGCCCCATTCCTACTGCTTTTAAGCACCACAAACATCTTCATTCTCCGGGCGACGCCGCCTCGTCTTACCCTGCTTCACGGTTGTCGAGGCACACTCCATGCCTGCTTCCGCGAAACCTTTTTCATCGTCACATAAACCTCCACAGGCGCGCCGAAACCACCAGCGCTTACGCCTGTAATCAGTCGTCCTGCTTCGGTTTCCTCTGTCCCACACTCTTCCATTTCCTCGGCGGAGTATTGCAAGGTTCCTTTGCCTTTTGAGAAGTCACGCCCCGCAACATTTGGCACACTGTCGTTCAAGGGCGATCGCTCTAGGCCCCGTTTAGGGCGACTTGTTCCTCTCCACTTTCAGGTTGCCATTCCCTCACAGATTGGGCTCCTATCAGTGGCAGGTGTCGCCAGTTCTCAAGTCCTATTCATGGCGTTGCTCCCGCTTGGCCACGCAGAGTTCCCTTGAGACATGTATTGATTTTGGTCGTCCTCCAGTTGGTCGAACGAATTCCAATCCCGAGAAATCCCGTCGAAGGTGATGTTTGGTGCAGACCTGTCGCCACCCAAGCCGGATTCGGAGTGTACGTTCCTTGGAGACTGAGCAGGGAATGCCTCATGTGATGACATATCGGTAACCCGCTGTGGCTGCTGCGAGTAGAGCATGCTGGACATGTAATTACCCCCCATAGACCTTGCCGGATCGGGCACGGCAGGCAAGCTACCCGTCAGGCTCATGTCTGGCCCTGAAGTGGGCTCGTATGCCGTGGAGTGACGACGGGGGTGATGCTGAGGTTCCAAGGCTATTGTCCGTGACAAGTCAGGGCCCAAACCTGCGCCAGAGGCGTACCTATTTGGTCGGCCCATGTTGTCGTAGTACGGGTGGTGTTGTGGTTGCGCGTAGCCAACGTTGCCTACAGACCCAGGCACCGCACTTAAATACTGTGGCATGTAGGAGGCCTGTCCAAATTGGGTACCCATGCCACCCATGTGGTGAAGAGAGGGGACGGACATAGCGCGCGACATGCTCTGGTGGTGGCTGTTGACCGGATACGGGTGGGCGAAAAGACCACCGCCGTGAGGTGCTCTCGTGTCGTCCATTTCTACCTCGTCGATAGGTGCCCTGAAATTTTGCGACATGATCAGCTCGCCTCGAGGGATGATGGTCGACAATTGGTGGTCTTTAGATGGCGTCAGAAGCTTGCCCTCGGTCACATCTTCCACGTTGTAGTAGGAAACCAGGTGATGTGGAACGCCCTGGTAGGTGACGCTGATGGTTTTCTTCACCAGCCCGTTCTCTTTGAAAGGATACGAGTCAACCAGTGAACCTATCAACGCCCTCTCGGCGTCTTTCGTCGGGGTTGAACCATCACCCATACCAGGCATGTTGGCAGCAGCCCCGTTGACGCTTCCTTGTCGTGAAGCCACATCACTGGGCTTGGTGACTCCAGTCGTCTTTTTGTTCCTCTTCATGGCACGTTTCTTTTCGCCGGGGGGGAAAGGCCTGTCGAGCTCGCGGTAAATCAAGAAATTGCCCAAGATGCGACTGGGGCTCCAAGCAACGCCGTCGGTCCAGCGTTTGATGCCGGACGAGTGCTCCTCGTAAATGAAAACATTACCGCTTTTGATGAGGTCCTGTCTTTCACGGTCGTGAGGCCTTCGAGGGACGTGCTGCAAAGCACTGCTGAGACAAGCCTCGAACAGCACCAAAGCGTCCAAGGTAGATGCGACGTGTCCTACGAACGTAGGGTTTAGCGGAACGTTGGAGTTTGCCATTTTGGCCTCCGGCAGCGTCGAGTCTAATTGTGTGTAAGTTCTCGGTTTCCAACGTTGTCCAAGTAAACAGAGCAGAGTAGAGTTGCGCCACGTACCAACAGAGTACGCGAAGTGCGATGGAGTGAGTAACGAAGTTGCGGTCGTTGCCGTTGCCGTCGCGGTGGGCATATGATGCTGTGCGTTGAAGAACTGATTCTAAAAGGACGGTAGAGCAAGGTGGTGATGATGATGGTGCAGACTGTGTGGGATCTAGTCTGACCAAAATATGTCTTGAGATGTGTCAAGACCAAGTAAGGTTCGAAGAAAAGACGGTTGGGAGGGGGAGGGTGGGAAAGAGGGGAGGTTATGGGAAGGCACTTGATGGGTAAGGTGAATACGATGAAGTGTGTGGAGCTGGAACTGGGAAAGAGTCGGTTCTTGGTTCGGTGTGCGCTGGTCGTCACATCCAGGTCGCAGTACCGCCTCCCCCCGTACGCCTCTTTTCGACGGATCGACCTTGTTCGACGAAAAAAGTCGAGGTCAATAGCCACAGCAAGGTGGGCAGCGGAACCCTTCGCGTCAAGTTAACCGCAGTTGGGCGTCGGATGGCGCGGCGGCGAGGCACCTCTTCGTAAATAGAGACGGACAGAGAGAGAAGCTTGATCTGGGCTCGATACGGGCGTCCGCGGCGTGTCCAGAGAGTAGCTAGGCAGCTGTACCGGGCAGCCAGGTAGTCTTCGTAAATATGGCAGCGGTTCGTAGGTGACTGTGGAAGAGGCTTGTGGCGTGCGTAGGCCAGGAACCGGAGGTAGATGGCAAGATCCAGCGTTTTAAGGTTCGAGCGCTGCACAGACAGACGAAATGGCTGGTCCACAAGTCCGACGTGCTGTGGGCGATTACTCTGCCTCGCTATGGACGCGATCGACGACAGAGAGGTTTGTGTGTACGTATGTGTATGTGTGCGTGGCGGCCAATTCTTGAACCACAAGGTGTAAGGTACTGGATTGCAGATTGACAAAGGTATGAAGGTAGACCAAAAGAAGCCACGAGGTGGTGGTGTATGTGCCTGTGTGAGAGAGAGAGAGAGAGAGAGACAGGGAGGAATATATATATATATATATATATATATAGAGAGAGAGAGAGAGAGGGGGGGAGAAAGAGGCAGTCGTTATGTGAGGATAACAACGAGTGGTGAAGACGATGTGGTGGTGATTGTAGATGATCTTGCACCCTCGAATGTCGAACAAAGGCTCCAAAAGAGTTATAAACAGGAGGGAGGGCCTCGGAGGGTTTTGATTCTGAACCGAGCGGTTGGGCCTCGATCTCCCAGGTTCGTTAGCTTAACTTCGGAAGCTGGGGGAGTAGCAGAACGAGAGAAGCAGCAGACGCAGGCGCCCAAATGTTCAATGGCCAAGATGGAGATCGCGGAGCCGGCGATGGACTTATATCATGTCGGTGCCCGACGGCAGAACTGGTATTTGCGCGTGAAGATCGGAAGACTGGACGAATTTGTAGAGAGAAACGGTCCAGACTACCATGGGGGTCGAGCGACTGGAGTAGACGAGGGTAGAACAGAGCAACGAAAGCAGGCCTTGTCAAGTACAGGGCAGATCGGGCTCAAGGCTCAAGGCTCAAGGCTCAAGGCTCAGGGCTCAGGGCTCAAGGCTCGGGATGCCGACGTAGGGCCACGGCCACGGCCTGGCAAGGTGCCGTTGTCGACAAGAGCAGGAAGCTGTTTGAACCCGAACCAGGGTAGCTGATGAAGCTCTACCATGTACGTCAGAGAGCCAAGCAGACAGGGCGGACGGGGCAGAGCGGCGGTAGAGGAGCAATGGTAACAAGCATCAATTTGGCAGTCGTATCAGGAGGGGACGTGGTTGTGGACGGCCAGGTTCTGAGAGAGCAGAGCCGATTAACGTGGGGAGCAGGACGAGGCGGAGACGACGGCGGCGGTGGCGGCGGCGGCGGTGGGACGCAAAGACACACAACCCATAATAGGACGTCTCGTCGGCGGCAGCAAGTTGAAGGTTGCAGGGGGGGGGGGGCGCGAGGATCGGGGAGGGGGACGGTGAATGAGACGGGGGAAGAGGGAGAGGGAGAGAGAGAAAGAGAGAGAGACAGACTGAGGGATGGAGAGGGGATAGGTGCGTGAGTGTGTATCCGTAGTGTGTCTGTGTATGTACGAGGAGAGGGAGGGGTGTAAGGGGGTGGGGGTAAAGAGAGGGTGAAGTTATGAAGGGGAATGAAGAATGTAAGGATGGGGGTTAGCACAGACAGATGGTCAGAGAGACAGAGAGACCGAAAGAGAAGGGTAGGAGGGTCGCAGAATGAAAGAAGGTGTGTACGGATGGGGTAGTGTAGATTTGGATGCCCTGAGCTTTTGCTTTGCGTGGTGAATGAACGGGGGGGATGGGAGAGGCGGAAGGGAAGAGGAAGACAGACTCTGCACGTGTGTGAGAGCGAAAAGGAAAGATACAAGGACGAATGCCCGTAGACCTTGGGGGAAACGGTCGGCGATCAAAGGCGGGCGGGCGAACTGGAGAATGCGAGGACGGGCAGGATGGCAGGGGAAAGAGAAGACGCCAGGGACTGGTCTGTACCTTTCGCATGTCTTCGCGCGAGTACCTCAGGTAGGGCATGAGCATGGACCTGCACATGGACCTGTACATGGACCTGTACATGGACCTGTACATGGACATGGACATGGACATGGACATGGACATGGACATGGACATGGACATGGACATGGACATGGACATGGACATGGACATGGACTTGGCTTGAGCCGATTTTGACGGGGGTTTCCTACTGCTACTTTGCAGTATTTGCGGGCGGCGGCAGGTGTGTTCTGTCTGATGTTCTGCATCTAGACTGTATACTAATTGTACTCCGTATACTTGCTTATCTGTCTGGAAGACTTCTGACTGCAGATATGATGGTCTCTCTTTCCCAATCTGTGAAGCCAACGAGCTCAAGTAGACGTAGTGACGGGATACTAAGCCGAGATGAGGGGGACGGCGCCGGAGAGGGCGCCAGAGCATTTCTACCTTTCCTAAAGCATTATCTTAGTCCGGTACGCTGGCACTTACCTCCCTACCTACCAATACATAGGCATGGTAGTACACACGGCAACGATTGCCAGGGCATGCAAGCCAGGAGGCCAGCAAAGGGTAGAGCAAGGTTAAGGTATGAAAAGGCAGAAAATGAAATGGCAACTGCTGGCCGGTGCTTGCTTGGTTTGCCTGAATTTGCCTGGGGCGAGTGACAGATGCTTCTGCCTCTGTCGCTGTGTGTACTAAGTAGGTATGCCTCACCTTACTTACGGTTGGGCGGAGCTTGCCCCGTCTTGTCTTGTGCTGCTGTTCTGTCTTGGCTTCATCTAATGCAGTAGGTGTTTTGCCAAGCGGAGATGGGGGGAACAAAGGACAGTGGTGGTGGTGGTGGTGGTGCTGGTATTGGTGCTGCTGCAGCTGGCTGTCGAGATGCAGATTCAGATGCTGCCGCCGCTGGGCAATGATGCAGGCACAGGGTGCAGCGCAGTAAGGGAACCCCAATCTTCTACTATTCATAACTCGTCTTGGTGGAGCCGAGATGAAATGAGGGGTCGAGTATTAGAGGCCGTGGAGCAAAGAGTTCCCAAAGCCCAGGAACGAGGTGCGGCATCTAACATGACACTCACAAGACGCTGAGGTAAGAAGAAGGCAACCACTTCGACTTCATTCCTTTTGTCGGTTATTGCTCATCCTCCCAACCCAGAAGCTCATTGTTGGTCCATAGTAATTGGTCATTGGCCTGCGACAGCTGCGCCCCACCGCAATGAGTTGCCGAATGCTATTGATTTTCGTCCTCCTCTCTCGCATGATGTAGTATGTAGCCGGGCCGTATACATAGTTAGGCAAGATATCTGCTTCTGCGACGGGGAGCCCCCCCGAAGACGACGACGGCATGCCAAGCCTGCTGATGGGAGAATGAGATACAGCCGTGCTGCTGCGCCGTCTCCATCTGAGGGTGGCTTCAACTCGTAATCGGCGCCTCTGTGCGTACGATTACATACTGCGTTTCTATGGTATGTCCTTGTTTGGCCAAGCCGTGCCAAGCCACATGAAGTGAAGGGGGGACGAGGCGGAGTAAGATCAGAAGCACATTGCAAAGGCTGTAGCGCCAACGTCGCGCTGTAGTTGGGTACTCCGGCTCGGGGACGTAGAGTAGGTATGGCTGCGTCGAAACGAGTGGGTGGAAGGTGGAGGGATGGTGGATAGCGGAAGAGGCAGGGAGGGGGCCATCAAGTGATGTGATGCTGTGGAATAAAATGAGATGGGATGGGATGGGATGGGACGGACGAAGAGTGGAGGACCGGTGATGGTCTAACTCATGGCTGATGCGGATGACAGTGGCATAGGAGAGGATTGATGGCTACCGTCGACTGCGGCTCCAGACAGAAAGAAGGCCACCAAAAAAAAAAAAAAAAAAAAAAAAAAAAAAAAAAGGGAAGAAAAAAAAGGAGGGTGGTGGACAAGTGCAAGAGGGATGGATGGAAGGCAGGGAAGCATGGGCGGACAGACCCAAACACAGACACAGACATGGGAAAACGACGTGAACGAAGACAGACGCCCTCGAGGAGACAGACGCGG